ATATATATATATATATATATATATATATATAGAGAGAGAGAGAGAGAGAGAGAGAGAGAGAGGAGATAACTGATATTCCCATTCAATTCCTAATATAAAGGAATACTCATTTAATATTAATTTATATATAAGTAGTAAATTGTATATCAACTTGCAATTAAGTTAAAAATTTCAATAGTGATGGTGAATAAGTTTCAAAAGTAATATAGATAAGTAAAAATCTCTACAAATAATTACTATTCAACAAGTATGAGTTTCACTTATATTCAGCATAAGAAAATTTATACCATTAGATTATATTTGTCTATATAGTAATCAAATTGTCTTATTTTCAAGAATACAAGTTTCACAATTTAAAAGGACTCATATGTAAATATTCTTTGAGTGACTTAATATTTGTATAGGGCAAAATATGCTATGCTACGTGGTCGTCCAAAAAGAGGGACACGTGGAACCTAAGACGGAGGATGGCTAAAACCGAAGGCAATTGTCCCGTCTGTCTCCTGAAAGAATAACGTTCATAAAGATGCAATAGATACTCTCCGTCCAGTAGCATTTAATGGAGAATATTCCACATTATTTAGTGTGTTGTCCATTACAGAGAATTGATGCTCACCGTTACATCTTTTTCAATGGCCCTCATAATTGACATTAAAGAAGAGCATGATCCTAGGACCTTGTTCTCTAGGTGCAACTATAAATAGTGAGTTATGTTATCATTGTAAATCACACGATTTTCCTGCAAACTTACGCTATAATCAATAAAAAACTTTATACAATTTTACTTTCTTGTTCCTTGATTTCATCATTGTTGTGCCCGGAAGTTCTGCTTCCAAATCATTGTTCTTCGTGATTTTTATCATAATTTCAAGGCTAAGTATTGTGTATTTCTTTAATTATTTCATTATTTTAGGATTAAATTAATTCACTTGTCTAGAAATTACGTATAAATTAAATTGTACCGTTTTACGGATAAATAATATTATAAAAGAATATATATATAATTTAAACTCAAATGATTAGTTTTGCGTTACAGTATAAATCTTACTTGAAAAGAAATGTAAAGACGAGCATTTTCTCTTTTTGGTTTTCCTAATTATACAGTCAAGAAATTAAGAGCGCACGTGGTCTTATTTCTGTTCTTTTGGCCCCGAAAGAAACAACGCTGTGTCATTGACAGTGAGCTCTTCAAAATTTGGTAAAATTTTGGTATTTGGTATTCGATATTTTGATATTCGGTATGATATTTGGTTTAAATTTTTTTAAAAATGATATTAGGTGTGGTATTTGATACTTTAAAATGAAATATCGAAATATCGATACCGTACCGAAATATATATTATATTACACAATACATATATTATTAATTATAACATAAATCTAAAAAAACTAAAATTTCACTTTCTTTTATTCTTTAAGTTCATCAATTAATAGCATGTTTGACCAATCTTTTAAAATCAGCTTATTTTGAGAATTGTTTTTCTCAAAATTACTTTTAAAAAAAATGCTTTTGGTGAGAAGCAATTTAAGTTTGACTAATTAATTTGAAAAGCACTTTTGAGCAGTAATTAGTGTTTGGCCAAACTTTTGAAAACTGCTTCTAAGTGTATTTTTCTCAAAAGTGTTTCTCAGAAAAGTGCTTTTGGAGAGAAGCTATTTTTTTTCTGCTTCTCAAAAACTGTTTCTGCTTCTCCACAAAAATACTTTTTTTTCTTTCAAAAACTTGGTCAAACACCTCAATTTTTGGCCAAAAGTACTTTTGACAAAAACAAAACAGTTTTGGCCCAAAAATAAGCTTGGCCAAATAGGCTATAATTCTAAGCGAGTAACAAGATATTTTTAATGATCAAATTTATTCTTTTATGTACAGTTTTCTCTCTCTGGGTTGATATTTGATGGTTTGGACAGAACTTTTATCAACAAATATTTTTAGTTTTGTATGAGTACTTTAATTAAAAATATTACAGTCTATGACTCTATGCACTAGTTAGTATTCAAATAGAATAAATCGAAATTTTCGAACCGAATAAATCGAAAGGAGAAAAACTGAACCATACCAAATTTAATTAGGTACGGTATTGGTATAACATTTTAAGAAATCGAATAAAAAAAATATCAAACCAAAATATATAAATACCATACCGTACCGATCGACCAACGCACCTAATTGACAAAATAATGAAAGAGTACTGAATTTCATAATAATCATAATAATAATAATAATCACAAGAATATAGAAAGCTGTGTGTAAGAGATAATGATATTTCAATTCAATCCCAACAGAATCAATTTGTCATTCTTTAGGGGGTCCACACACACTAAAAAGAAAATATCAGTACCTAACTCTCCTTATGGAAAACAACATGACCTATATATCTACTCTCTTAAGGGTCCACCCTCAAAAATATCTATAAATTCATCATCATCTATCTACCCTTCACCAAATCGCATTTCTAAATGCTTCCTGTTTTTTTGACCAAATAGTCATGGTTCGAGTTAGAGCAAATGTAAAAACTACAGATCTAATTTGGGAGGGGTAAAAAAAAAAAATTAAATTTAAACATATCTGGACATCAAACATTATTTTCAAAATTTAAATTTTGGTTTGAGAAATATTTTAAGTTAAATCATTTTCACTCACAAGTCTTGAATTTTTTATTTCCAAGTAAACTTTATATTCAAACACAATTTATTTTCGTAATACCTTTTTATAGCTCCAAGTTTCTAACTCAAAAAGATATCTTTTCATTTTTGACCAAATATAATCTAAGCTCCCGTTTCACCATAAAATTTTGGATTTTTTTTTTTTCAAATATCTATTTGTTTATAGATTTTAATTATTTTTTGGCAGATTTTAAAAATAAAATCTTCAAATCTCAAAAGTAGTTTTTGAAGTTTTTTACTTACAATATTTCAAATTAAGTAAAGTGTATGTCCAAATACAATTTTAATTTTTAAAAAATATTTTTTATATCATCTTTAAAAATTTATTTTTTTAAGTTTCAATCAAATTTATGGCTAAATGACGATAAATATCAAAAGATGATTTAAATTTAAATTAAAGAGAAGGGAGAGAGGGGGAATTTTCCTAAAGAAAATATATACTATGAAGAAAATCCATCTTCTCATACCCTTTCTGTGACTCACGGAGGAGTAATCATTTAAAGCTCATGTGACTCCAATTTTGTGGTTCATTTATAACTCTCAAGCAAACATCAAAACTCTTTCTTTTTTCGTTTTTTTTCATTCAGAGACAAGCTCCACTTTCTCTCTTTCCCTTTGAATTTTTGCAAAACAAGCTAAACATATATACAATTCATTCGATAAAAAAAGAAGGCCTTTTCCTTTCCTCTTTCCTAAGCTATAAATACTACGAGTTCTCTCTTTTTTTAGCAAATAAGCTTTTAAACGCCTTAAATAACAAACAATAGGACTTGCACAAATACATGTAATTGAGTTTTACGTTTATAAGCTTAGTAATATTTGTGTCAAAAGACAATCTTTTTGTTGGAAGAGTTGTTGATTGTACAAAAGAATCACTGGAAATGGAGTTTTACGCATACCCATCTCGTGCTTTGCCTGTTTCATCGTCTATTTGTTCGTTTTGCATACGGGATTTGGTAGATAGGGCCAAAGATTTCTTTAGCGCTGCGGTATCTGCAATCATCGGCAGTCTCTTCTCTGCAATCTTCACCTTCTTCTTTGCTTTAGGTGCGTATCGCTTGCTAACCATTCTCTTTTCAATTTGTTTGATTGTGTATATTCCTCCATATGTTTTCTTTTCTTTTTTTTGCCCAGAATTGCATATCATATTACTTTGCTGCTTTGATAGCTTCTAATTCTTGATGTATGCGTGCATTCTAATATTGGGGTGGGTTGTGTTATGGATTTTAGAAAAATATATAAACACCAAGGTGAAAATAAGATTGAAAAAACGGTTTCTAAAATTTTATTAATAATAGGGTTTTAAATAGCCAAATAAATAAAGTAGTAGACTCCTACTACCACTAAATTACTAAACTCTTACTATAATTAAAATTCTGAATCTTCTAGCAGACTTCTCCTAAAACTAAACAACTAATTATTCTAGAAAACAGTAGCAGTAACAGATGCAAAATCCAACACTCCTCCTTGCTTCTGTTGCTGCAGTCTAAAGAAGTTGATCCTCAATTCCTTCTTCTGCTATTAGTGCTTGTGCATGAGCATCTTTGAACTTGCACACTTTTGTAACATGAACTTTTTGTTTGCAATTTCCACATAATGCATCAGGTCTCCACCAACAAAAATTTTCTAAGTATGTTTTCTTTTTGCAGTATTTGCAATAAGGATAATCGACTTTTTTTTTTGGTGTTTCGCATAAAAAATACCCTCAGTAACTTTGTCTTGTCTGAAGGCCCTTCTTTGCTCTTGTGCTTGAAGAGCACTTATTAATTCTGCAACAGAGATGGTACAAAGATCTTTAGACTCTTCCAAAGAGGAAGTTTTGGATTCAAATCTCTCGGGAATTGTCACAAGAATTTTTTTAACTATCCTGTCATCTTTGAAATCCTCGCCAAGTAACCTGATTTTATTGACAACTAAAGAAATTCGGTCAGAATACTTAGCGATGGTCTCATCATCTTGCATTCTAAAATATTCAAAATCTCTTTTCAAATTTAAAATCTGATTTTGTGTGCCTCGTTCACTTCCTTGATACTCATGTTTGAGTGTTTCCCAAGCTTCTTTTGCTGTCTCACATGCAATGATTTTAGAGAAGATTGAATCTGCAACTGAATTTTGAATTATAGTTTTGGCTTTGTATTATTTGGTTTTCTCATCTGAATGAACTTTGATTTGGGCAAGGGTAGGATTTGCAGGAAGTGGTTGTATAAGTTTGTATTCCATTACAACTTCTCATAGATCATAAGCTTCAAGATAAGATTTCATCTTCATTGACCAAATCTGATAGTTTTCACCAGTGAAAGTTTGTGGAGTATTCAAAGAGAGGCCGATGCTTGCCATTGTTAAAAATTTGGTTAAAAATCGGTATGAGTAAAAATGTGTATGGTTTAAAAGTGGTTGAAATTGGTTGTTTTTCAGCGAATTCAAAGATCCGTCAAGATCAATGGAGGCTATGATACCACTGTTATGGATTTTAGAAAAATATACAAGCAGCAAGAATGTTGAAAATAAGATTGAAAAACTGTCTCTAAAATTTTATTAATCATAGGGCTTTAAATAGCCAAATAAATAAAGTAGTAGACTCCTCCTACAACTAAATTACTAAACTCTTACTATAATTAAAATTCTAAATCTTCTAGCAGATTCCTCCTAAAACTAAACAACTAATTATTCTAGAAAACAACAGCAGTAACAGATGCAAAATCCAACAGGTCAGGTTGCACATGCGTGATCAGGGGCGTGTAATTTTTTTTTTTTTTTTTTTTTTT